GGGAATGGAGGTTGTGGTCTGCTCATGGGATACTGGCTCTATCACTCCTTCCTCCTCACAGTCTTCTGCTGCTCCAGAGTGGGATCCCACCCATCGGAGCCAGTTTTCCACATCCACCTGCTCCGGCATGGTGATTCAGAGGAGGTAATGAACAATGGTATCACCCAAGTTTGCAGATCATACTAAGCTTTCTGAAGTAGTCCAACAGTGGTGCAGTGGCTTATAATAAGAGCTCAGGGCAGAGATCTTTCACAATTCTTCTGTAACTATGACATGGTTTGGAGTTCTATAATTTTTTTTTTAAATAAAAAAAAGCAGGTGGTGCTACTTTGCTCCTGTTTAAGACTGGTGGACACAGATTTTCAGTGCTGGGCAGTTGCAGTTTCTATATTTAGATGGAGTCCATTGTGGAGTTAAAAGAATGTCAGCTGATCAAAGGAATGAAGAAGCTGCTTTGTGAGGAGAGACTGAAAATGCTGGGACCCTTCACCATGGAAGGGGAAGACTGAGGGGTAAAAGGGTCAAGGTTTACAAAATCTTGAAAGCTGAGTCAAAGGGATGCATAACTAGTATTCACCAAATTGTACAAATACTAGTCTGGGTGGCACTTCTGCATTTGAAACAGATTGACCAGTTATATTAAGGTGATATTTCACACAGATAAAGATGGTACTTCATGCAGCAGACACTGAGCTTCTGAGATGTAATGCCATAGGAGGAAGATGGTACCAGCAAGTTCAAAGGGGATTTTGAAGATTCATTGATACCTCACCCATAAAAAATAGTAAAGAAGCAAGGAGGGCTATACCATGGATGGACTGTAGAAAATGACCAGGCTCACTGGCTATACCTAAATTCTGTGCTCTTGCCAATTACTACAGCAACTCAGTGGGAAAAAATAATCACGGAATATGCGAGGATCAATGAGTCCAACCCTTAGTTCTGTACAGGACCATCTCCAAGAGTCACACCATGTCCCTGAGTTGTGTCATCCAGATGCTTCTTGGAATCTTGTCAGGCTTGGTGCTGTGACCACTTCCCTGGAGACCTGTTCCAGCACTCAATCACCTTCTAGGTGAAGAATTTTTTTCTAATATCTAATTTAAACCTCCGCTGGCCATTTCTTGGGTC